TAAATAAAATAAAAAACAAAAGACAACTTAGGTAAAAATATTTGCTATATATAATAGAGAAAGGGTTAAGATACATGTGTATAAGGAACTTTTAACAGTTAAGGAAAACTTGATTTTACAAATCTCATTTAAAAGTTAGCAAATGATATGAATAATTCAAAAAGAAGATAATTCACAAAAAATATTATAACAACTTAAATAAATGAAGAGATATTCCTCCATTCTTAAAAATAGAAATGCAAATTAAAACTACGCTGAGATGTCAGTTTCCACCCATCCGATCAGAGCCATCTCAAAAGCCTGACAATACACTTTGTTGGCACAGGTTGTGCAAAACCAGCATTTTCACACACTGCTCGTGGAAATGCACTTGGAACAAGCCCAGTGCAATGGAAATTTGACTCTATAATACAATTAGCGATAAGACAAAAATATTCATGAGTTTTGGAAGGAGACAAAATTACAAAGAATACTCCATTTGACTTAGTAGCCCTGTGTGTAGCAGTTTACTCAGAAGCTGCAACTCAACAATATGAAAATCGTTGCAAAGTACTGACCTATCTAAATTTCCAAATGTAGGAAATTATTTTAAAAAATCAAAATCCATGTATTAAAATATATTCTTGTTCATCTGTACGAATAAATGAGGATGATTTTTATGAATTGCTATAAAGTAAATTCCAAATATAACATTAAACTAAAAAAAAAGCAAATGAATAAACAAATCAATAACTTGGTATAAACAGAGGCTATTCTTTTTATTTATTTATTTATTTGGTACCGGGAACCTAACTCAAGACTTGCACTTGTGTTTATGCCACTGAGCTACATCCCCAGCCCAACAGAGGCTACCCTAACAACAGAATGTCAGCGGATAAATGTAGATGAAATGGCAGAATGGAAAAATCATTATTTTACAAATCTCAAGGTTAAGATTGTTTCAAGAAAGAGTGATCAACAGGTGCTAAACCTAGGAAAAATTTTTGGTGAGAAGCACAATATTTATATGGTTTTAAAATATCTCTCAATACAATGCATATTCCATAGAATGACCCAGATCTAGTCATAAGAAAACATCAGACAAGCCCCAGCTGAGGAATAGTCTACAAAACAGCTGGCCAGTATTCTTCAAAACTTTTAATATAATTAAAAACAAAGACTGGACGATAAACGGAAGGAAACCGGACTCATGACAACTCAGTGCAACACCGCATCCCGGACTAGGTCTTACAGTGGAAGGGAAAATACTGTCCTAAAGGACGGACTTGGGGTCATCAATAAAATGGAATAAGAAATGGACCAACGTTAAACTTCCTAAATAAACCTCCTGACTGCATTCCGGTTGCATACGAGAATGACCTTCTTTTTATAAAGCATACATTAAAGAGTTCAGGGATGATGGGACATGATCTATGCAACATACTATCATGAGAGTAAAATGTAAATAATTTTAGTGTCTTGTAAACAAGGAAGACAAATGAAGCAAAATACTTTAACATGGTGAATCTGGGCCTGATGGTCAAGAGGTATTACCAAACTCATTTCTCATTCCCGAAGAGCTAAGGAATCCTAAGCTCCTCCATTCCTAACCCTGCCATTCTCAAAGACCATGTTTATAGGGGAATCTTTTGACTGATTCCTGGTTTTAGACATTTCTTGGTCTAATCCAGTGTTTCCTAAACTGTGGTCTGAGTGAAACCAATGTTTCACGGACTTATTAGTTATTATTCTCTCTCAATTCAAAATCCACATTGGCATCTCTAAGGCACCATCAAATCACATGGAATTATTTAATTTTTATATCTTAATATTGTTCAGCTATAAACACTTTTTCTACGTAGATTTATAAATTCTGCTAACAGGCTGGGAGTCTACATGCTTTGGGAAATGCATCTCTAAACCGAGCTCACACTATTTGAACGCATTCTGTTGATGCTGGTCTTACAAGCCACCTTTCATTCGAGGGCATTCTCTCAGGGCTAATGGCTCTTGCTGGATGTGACTAAGCATATTATCACTTAATGTCTTTCTCTGAGATTTAGAAACTGGAAGAAAAAAAGGTAGAGCCCAGCCTTTGCAGGTAGATACTACTATGGCGGACACTTATCATTGTATATTTGTCAACATTCATACAATGTCTAGCATCAGCATGAACCCTGACGTACACTACGGAGTTGGGAGACAGCAATGCGTCACTGTGGGTTTGTTGATGTAACAAAACACCACCCTAATGACAGGATAATCAAAACCCTTTGGCAGAAGCCAGTATGAATTAAGAATTATAAAATATATCCCTCCTCCTAGAAATTTGTAGAAATTCACTTTGGCAAAAATTTTGGGTAAGTATATTTAGCATTATTGACACTGACAAAAAATTGTAGGGCTGGGCATTAGCTCAGTGGCAAAAGCACCCGCCTGGCAAGTGCAAGATAGTGAGTTTGATCCCTGGTGCCACCTGCCAGTGTTCTACACCAAGAAATGGTGCCATCAGCCACTCACAGTGACCTAAATCGGGACTCTGGGGTAACCCTGGAGTCCTCACCTGCTTTACCCTCTATCTCCTACCTCCACCCCCCGACCTCGGTCCGACATTTCTACACCCCCCCCCCACTTATCTCTGAGATCTGTCCGCACCTCTCTATTCTCACTGAAACCTCCTGAATGTAGACAGCAGCATCCCCACCTGGACTGCTGTGGTCATTTCTGGCTTATTTCTTCATCCCTGGAGCCACTTTTCAGGCCCCAGGGCGAGCACATCAATCTCCCTGCCGGCTCCTCCACCTTCCCACAGCCCAGGCCTGGCATCGTACAATGTCTGTTTTTATATCATTTTCAGTTTGTTCCATACTGGGCTCGTCTTCACCTCTCAGCACTTTTTGAAACAAATATCTACATTTATTATTTTAGCTTCCTTGCATCTCATTCTCTACACAATCTTTCTGTCCTCATCATTGCCCCAGGGACCAATGAAAGCAAAAAAGAAAGACTGGAAAGAGAGAAGTTCCTAAAAACCCAGCTGGGGCACCACGTGTCAGGCCCGTGGTGCTGATCACATTATAAACAGTAAGTTACTTATCCCAACAATAAATCTCAGTATTTTTCTTCCCAGCAAATTGTTCTATTTTTGCTTCGCCTTTGCCTTCACTTAGCCATGAATCCTGAAGTCCTAAAGATTCTATCATGGATCAGAAGTTTTCTTCTTCTCTCCACCCATCAATCGTCCTCTTCCGGAGCATCACAGTCTCCCACCACCACCGCCAAGCGCGCGTCTTCCTGAGCTTCAGTCCACATGATCTACCTGCCTTGCTGCAGCTTTTGGTATGCGAAGAGCATCTCAGACTCATCTTCAAAGACAGACTGCATCACCTCTCCACCGCCCTCTGTAAATGTCACAAACACCCAGACACCCTGGACAGAAACCCAGCAGTCATCGTCGGGTCTCCTCTCCGTCCCCTGTCACATCCGGTCCATTGCCATGTCCTATCAGTTCTGCTGTCCCAATCTTTCTCCAGGTTCCCTACTTCTCTTCAGGCCCAGAGTCTTCCTTCTGCGTTCAGCCACCATCATTTCTGCCTCTGCTACTAAAGCAGCCCCTGACTCGATTTCTCCATTTTCAATCTTGGCCCGACCCCCAATCCAGGCTCTGCACATCATTCAAGGAAAAGTTACTAAAAGATAACAGTTGCAAATCTAGAATATCCCTCATTACTTCCTAGTACTAGACCTTTATAATTCCCGTCTTTCTTATCTATAAACTGGAAATAGTGTATGCCTCAGAGTAGAAGTGATGATTAGGACATGATCCTGAGAGAGAGAAAGCTGTCCAGCACACTGTGAGTGTGAGTATAAACTGTCAGAGAAATTTTAAAAGACACAGCAGTAACTTATTCTCAGCACCGTGTCATTATATGTCATTTGAAATAACAGGAATGTATGAGTCTATATTTTAAATTCTTGGAAACTAAAAAAGTGCATTTAGCAGATGATATGAAACAGATATCAAATTTCCTACGGTGGTTAATTTTCTGCGCCGACTTGATTAGGTTATGATGCTCAGTGGTTCAGTCAAATATCAGTCTAGAAGCTACTGTGGCTGTCTTTTGTACATGTGATTAATATTTATGATCAGTGGAATCTGAGTAAAGGAGATTACCCTCATTCAAAACAGTAGAATGTATCTAATCAGTTGAAGACCTAAAAAAGCAAAAAGCCCCTGAGATTTCCTGGAGACGAAATTCAGCTCAAGAATGCTTTTTTTTTTTCTTTGAGACAGAGTCTCACTATGCAATTCAGGCTGGCCTTGAGCTCACTTTGTAACCCAGGCTGGTCTGAACTCACAACAATCCTTCTGCCTCAGCCTCCTGAGTGCTGGGATTACAGGCATGAGCCACCATGCCCGGCTAGCTCAAGAATCTTATGGCAAAAAGAAAAAAAGAATAATAGCTAATAGATTCAACTCTTTAGTGGCTTCAAATCTAGGTTTTAGAGTATAGTTTAAAAAGAGTGAGACAGCTGGATGTGGTGATGCAGTCCTGTAATCTCAGCACTTGGGAGGCTGAGGCAGGAGGATTACCGTGAGTTCAAAACCATCCTGGGCTACACAGTGAGATCAAGGCCAGCCTGAACTGCACAGTGAGACCATGTCTCAGAAAGACTAAATAAGTAAATAAAAGAAAGAGCAAGATGGCTTGGTAACACAAGCTCTAAATTAATAAATAAATACTAAAAGATAAAGAAACTTCACCAGGTAAATAATGCACACAATGCACGACAGCCTACCTTTAAGGAGCCCCAGGCTGTGCAGAGAATGTGCCAGGGTGGTGTCAGGGGACCGATGTCCAGCACTCCTGCTAGGGCCTCTGATAAGAAAGTCCCACCGCCCGCTGACCTTAGGCCAAGAGTTCTGCTCACCCTGGGCCCTGTCTCAGCTTCTGGGCCCCCATCTGTTTGTGACAAGTATTAGGTCTAGCAAAGCCTTGGTGACAGCGATGGCCCCTTACCTGTTGGAAGTGGTTGGTGGCTGTGCTGTGGGACCCCAGGGCTTGCTCCGCGGCTGCCAGTCCCCTGAGCACGGACACATACTCAGGACTTTCTTCCCCTTTGCTGATCTCTGTGTATCTCAGTGCTTCTCGGTAGAGGGGCAGAGCTTCTTGTGACTTCTTTTGACCATGATATACCCTAAAAAAAATCAAAGGGATCATTTTATAATTAAAGTGAAACACGGAGCATGCAGGTGGCTGGAAACTGGGATTTGATAGTTTGGTCCTGGTGGCCAGACGGTTTCCTGGCCAGCTAAACTTCTCCCCCAAGGGGCAGCAGGGCCTGGTGTCCTGAGAGTGGGCTCTGGAAGGACCAAGTACGGTTCCCCATCACAAGGAGTACGGCCTTCAACCCACACTGCAGTTTCTTCATCTGTAACTTAGGTAAGATAACATCATCCATTTCATGGGGTTATTTATTCATTCATTTATTTATTTATTTTTGTACCAGGAATTGAACTCATGACCTCGTGCTTGCCAGGCAAGTGCTATAGCCCCTGTCCCTGCCTTGTTTTGTTCTGACACAAGGTCTCACTATGTAGTCCAGGCTAGCCTTGAACTCACTATGTATAGCCTAGACTGGCCTCAAAGTTGAGGCAGCTCTCCTGATTCAGCCTCCTGAGTCCTGAGATTACAGGCACACTCTACCACATCTGGCCTCATTGTATTATAAAGACCAAATTAGTTAATATTCATAGACATACTTAACAATCTCTAACACAGTAAGCGCTACATAGGGATTGGTTTAAAAAACACAAAATAATCACAAAGGAGGCTGAGATGCTAATAATTAATCTTTGAGAGATTCCAGAAAATCTCCAGGACACATAAGGATGTGAAGGACTCTCCTTAACTGTTGGAGAAATATACTATTGGCATAAGCTTCTCTGTATCAAAATTATATATACATAGTACATATACACGTATAGTTCCGCTAATGTCATTTCTTGGGATTTATCATGACGAGATGCTCTGGGAGAGCAACAAGAAACACACAAGAATGTTTACCTTAGCATTCTCTATAGTAATAGAAAAGCACAAAGCACTTAAAATGCTCCATTAGGAAACTGTCCACGTGGGTTACAGTAAGCAGATCTAGAACTGTAGAATATCATAGTCATCAGAGCTAGTGTTGATCCGTATTTACCAACTTAAAAGCATATCCATTATGTATTCTCCAGTAAAATGTAGCTTATAAAAATGTTTTGTTATCTTCTGCACACGAAAATTGTATAGTCAATCTATATTCATGCACAGAGAGATACCAAAAAGATAGTCATTAAAACGTCAGTGCTACTTAACTCTCGGGAGACAGACAGTGAGTGATTTTTCATTTCTTATTTATAGTTTTCTAAATTTCTCAAATTTTCTTCTATAAAACTATATTATATTTACGCCAGAAAATGCTAACTTAAAAATGATAAGTACAGGTAGCAGTGAGAAAATATTCTTATAGCTTAGAATCCCATATGAAAATATAACCCTATCTTGTACAGTAGACAGAACAGCAGATATTTTTAAATATTCATCTTTAAAATATTTGTTAAGAGTACTTGAAACTTTGCTTTCGTGGGGAAATTTTATTTTCAAAATACATAATGTAAGATAGCAATCCTCCTTCCATTGGCTCCCACCCCAGAATCTTTAATTCAAAAAGGTGTTACGATTCCCAGAGCACCCACAGGAAACCAAACAATGTGAGAAAAGATCAAAAAAGAGGTCTATTTTCAACTCAGTCATCAGATATGTGTAAAGTTAGTTTTATTTGTATATTTTAGGTATGCATGATGATCGCATCTGTCACAGGGCTTTGAACCTGTACATGCTGTACCTCAGTTCTCCTTTGTTCTCCAGCCCCCTCCCCTCCCATCAACCCCTCTTGTCCTTATTTACCAAGGTTCTATTTCCAATTTTTCCCTGCTATCCTTTTTTCTTTTCCTTTCCTTCCTTCCCCCTCCCTTATTCCCCTTCCCATTTGAACATTTGCTTCCTATTTCCCAATATCTATTATACATTTGGTCCTGATTTACCCTTTTGGTTTCTCACACCAAAAAAGCAACATAATAAGTACATGTGTGTGATTTATTTAAGGGTATGGTCTCAAAGTGCAGCCATAGAAATATCTCAAGTTTATCCTTCTTTATGGCAGAGTAGTGCTCCATTATTAAAAAAAAAAACAGCTAACAACAAACCATATCTTCTTTATCCCAGCATCCAATGATGGGCATTTGCATTGTTCCCAACATTCAGCGATTACAAATTGTGCTGTTATAAACATGGGTGTGTGTATATCACTCTGGTGTGATGCTTTTAATTCTTTTGGGAAGATGCCAAGAAGGAGAAGAGTAGGGTCAAATGGAATCTCTACTCCTAGCTTTTTGAAGGATCTCCAAACTGATTTCCACAGTGGTTGTACCAGCCTGCACTCCCACCAACAGTGGAGAAGGGTTCCTTTTCCCCCACAGTGCCACCAGCATGTGTTACTGGTTGATTTCTTGATAACTGCCATTCTTTCTGGGGTGAGATGGAATCTCAGCAGTTTTAATTTTCATCAGTTATTTTTCACTCAAAGGAATTAATTGGAAAAACTAAAAATACTTTTCAGATCTATAGCCCTGATGGCCTCAATGAAATAAAATATGGACTAAACAATTTCTGACCTTGAGCACTTCCATAATGGTGGAGAGGCTTAAACACAGGAAGAAGTCAGGGGTTGTTTTGTGCCCAGACCCAGTAAGGTTATAGCTGGCAGCAAATCTAATCTTGGGGAGGGGGGACAGATTAACAGGCGACCAAATAATACCTGGCTCCCTTTTGACCCTTAATGAGCTTTGGGTGTAATGAGTTATCATTATCTTTGCAAATATCAGACTTTACTTTTGCAGAAATAACTTTGGTGCTAGAAGGAGGCTCTGAAATGTTTGATTTTTAAGAAATCACTTTGTTGAAAGACTTAGATCCCGGAAGATAAAGAATCAAAAACAAGGGTCAGAAATTTGCTCGCTGCTTTCCTAAGCAGTCTTCCTGGCTGGGGCAGTGTGTCTGTTCACGTCTCACCTGTGGCTGCTTTTGAACTACACTGGCAGAGGGCAGTAATTGTTACAAAGATCACACAGCCGGTAAAGTCTAATATTCACCGCTAGACTCTTCACAGAAAAAGTTTGCTTGCTTGTAGGTTTAGAATCTAAAGTCACACACTTTCAAAATGACTAGATTTTTATTCCCACCTAACTTAGCCGAGAATCCTCAGACGATGCTATTGATATTTGGGCAAAAAAATAAAATCATCATTTTTCTTTTTCATATTCACAAAGGATGTGTGCTAAGGTAGAACAGAGCAAGTCTTCTGTTTCCACAGCTGCCTATAAAGGTCATGGAGGAGTAAAACAGCAAATACAAACACCAAGATGGTTTAATTTGGACAACTGCTTTAAAAGGAAGTCGAATTCAAAGCTTGGTAGTCAGGAGTCTACATGTGAAAACAGAAAATGATAAGAAAGCATGCTTTAGTTTACACAGCAACCATCCTTTGTCTCCTGAGATAAGATGCTAAACGAAAGCAGGGTTTGGAATGATGAACTTTTACTAAGTAGCTTAGCCAAAACCACAACATAGGACTTCATTGTTATTCTGTGTCCCATTTTAGGTACCAAAATTGTCTCAATACTTGTCTCGCAGAGAAAATTTTTTGGAAAAAAAAAAACATAGGATAAGACACAGGTCAGTCATTTCCAAGTACCGAGTCAGTAACAGAAAAGGTAAACTGTGACCTCAGCGCCTGCACGTACGAAGTCTGGCCACAAACAAACAGATGTCTTTGAACCTTGGTTTCTTGATCTTAACTTGTGTTTGGAAGGGCTGTTGTGAGACCAAGTAAGATTCCGGTGAGAGCGCTTTGCAAACAGAAGCAAGCCATGCGGAGAGGTATTCCAGACCTGTGCACAATCCTTTCTTTTGTTTTTCCTCCCAGCCTGCATGCTCGGTGCAGGAGCCCAGGGTGTCCTACGGAAGTGGCCTCAGCTGTGGTCTCCGCCCTATGCTCCATCACCCATGATGTGCAATGTGAAGCGAACAGGCACAATCACCTCAAACCAACTGAAAATACTGTGCAGGCGAGGTAGGCTTTTTTATCAAACTGAACCTTAAAATATTTTTAGAATAGTTTAAGAACAATATATATCATTTTAAAAGTAAGAAAAGATAGGTAAATTTTAAAAATTTGAAATATATAGAATTAGGACCCTTACCCTATATAAACAAAAGCTCAAATGGACTAGAGACCTAAATTAAAAACCAAATTTTGAAATATTTGAGAGAAAATACATAAAAAAGCATGACTTTAGGCCGAAAAGGATATCTCAGCGAAAAGTAGAGATGTGAACATAAAATAGGTAATTTGGTCACAGTAACAAAATAAATCAAAACTCCTGATATCAAGATATGAAGAATATCTACAAATTTATCTTTTAAAATGCAAATAGTCCAGTAGAAAATGAGTAAAAGATGTGTATGGGGACTTCACAGAATAAGAATCCCAAATATTTAGGTAACAAGTGAAAAGATATTCAACCTTACCATCAAAGAAATACAATTAAAGAAACCACGACATAGAATTTCGCATCCCTGTGATTGGGAACGATAAGAAGCCTGACAATATCAGATGGCCTCAAGGATGTGGAGAAACGAGAATTTATGCATCGTGTTAACAAGGGCATAAACTGTGGGCAGTGTTTGGAAAAATCGGGTAAGATTGAGGACATGGGTACTGCTGGGTACACAATCATAAACCTCAGAGGCAGTCTTGCGTATGTGTGGAAGACATGCACATAACAACGGTAAAGGATTGTTATTCTGCTAATGCTTTATTGTGAAATTGTTTTAACTTTTTTTTCAATTTCAAAAAAAAAATAAGGAATGCTAATAGGCCAGGGCATGCAACTCAGAAGTAGAGTTCTTACCTTGCCCTGAATCCCCCAACACCACGAAAACAAAAATAGATAAGAAAAAGAAAAAAAGAAGAATGAGCATATAAATAGTCCTTACAGTAATAAGGCAATTCACGTGTTCACCTTCATGAGAATGGATAGTTAATGTAGGGAAAAGCAGACAATTAAGCATTATCTATGAGGAAGTTTAAAA